TGGCTCCTTTGTTTCTCCGCCTAATTCGAGTGTTTCTGAAGCTTCTTTCGAAAGTAGTGAACCTTTTGATTTTATGCGCGATTATTCACACAAACGAGAACGTTAATAATTCGGATTCCAGTTTATTCTCTACGACTACATACATTGTTACTTTCATGCTAATAATACTTTTCAACATATCATATCTGAAAGTTCGATCTATAAAAAATTGATAAAAACTTGAATCACCACGTAAGATATGGAAATTCTGCCCTTCCTGAGTGCCGAAAAACTTTTTTGAAGGCTGCAATAAACAAAAATCATTTCAAGACTGTACTGTATTACTGCTTTGTGAAAATATGTACACAAGAGGAGCCAATTCATTTGGAAAGTTTGAAAAATCTAGCATTTTTTTCCCTGTACCGTTAAACTTTTACTTACTCAGACCCAAAGTACTCCATTTATGACCCCGTCCCAAAAAGTATTTTTAGTTTTTATATACGTTAATGGGTTAAAGTTAGTGTCAGTTCGTTCTAAATGGTTCCCAATCAAAATTTCAATTACAAGGAACTAATTTTTTGAATCCCCAATGCCAATCACAATGAATTTATTTGTAATATTACCCAAATGCAATCACAAGGGTAATCACAACTCTTTTCAGGATTTTTATACTCTGCTTTTTACACTTATTCTAATAATTGCCAAATCCATGTCAAATTAATACTAAAAAGTCAATCCCATGGATGAAGAAAGTACCAGAGAAAATCTAATCAAAACAATACTTTTGCATAATATGGGTCCAACCTTTTTTCATTCCATTCGAATTTTCACCTGAAAAAAGCATCTATTCAGTAAAGGAATAAGGTTTAAAAAAGTATGAATGAAGGTAAATGGCCTTTCTAAGGTATTATTCAATTAAATAATGCCCAAAATTGTTCATTCTACTACAATTACAAATTCAAAAAATACTATGAGAAACTTCTTTCTATGCCAGTCTGTCTAAAGTTGAAGACATAAAGTGCAATATATCCTCTCATCCCAACTAGCAACTTACACAGTTGAGAAAAAGTTTATCCTTTTTCATAGAATTTTGATCATGATTGAAATCAAGTTGTTCAAGAAAATTGCATACCTTATGCTGGCGTTATTTGGCACTGATTGTGATTGTGATTATAGCAGTTTCACCCCATGAATCTCAAGTAACTTTGCAAGAATTTCAACAATAATTCCGAACTACAATAATCATGAAAATGCCTACAGAATTTTGTTTCCCAATCAAAATTACAATGCTCGTGATTTTGATTGGGCTAAATTGTAGCGCAATTAAGAACCCTGTACTGGGGTGATTCATTCAGCATGAAAAATATATGTAACTACTGCTGTACTGTAATTTTATCAAGATGTCCCCATTTATTTTATTATTCTTATTTGTATAGCTGAGATCCGTGTAAATTTGGCTGCGAACATTAAGAAACGAGAAAAGATCCTTTGATATTCAAGGTAAAATAAATGAGAAGCAGATTGGAGAGAAATTAAAAAAATAATAATTTTGCACAAACAGGAATCACAGCGGACTGCGGGCATGCTTCTTGTTTGTTCATATCACCACGGGTTTTCCGGACAAAGTTTGAATTAGCCCATGTCCCTGCATGCTTTACATATTCTGCTGCAAATTGCGAATGCAGGGTGAGTAGCGTGATTAAATTCCTGGGGCGTAAAATACTTTTTTTTTGTTTAGAAACTATTTTTCCGCGGATGTCCCAACTCTCCCAGGCCATGCCACAGCCGGTCGGGGCGCGTTAATAAAATCAGCCAACGAACCGCTGGGTTTCCATTTCCGTTCAGCTCATGTTATTGCTACGAAACCCGAGAAACTATACCCAGGGCAATATCAGAAGGCAATAAGTAAAATCCCGCAATAAAACCGAAAGATACCGAGAATCTAGAGGCTAAAAGTTTCGAATTTGAGTCATGGCTCCGACCAATCTCAGTCTGATATGATGCAAAATGAAAATTATCACTGGTATCGACTCATCTCTCCCAGAGACATTTTCAGCTTCTTTTTTAAAACTCGTAATTATATCAAAGCTTTGTAATATTCCCTGCCTCATTCAAGTATCTCCGACCCATTTACATTGTCTCCGTATCGATATAAAATTCCCCTCCTAGCGTCTTTATGAAGAGAATTCAAGTGTTTATAGTACAGATATTTCAAATTACTTCTGAATGTTTTAAGCAAAAATTGGATGAAGAACAGAACCAGCTGGAGCTTTATCTCTGATTTCCCGAATTTAATACTTACAATTTCACTACATAAAAAAATGAAATAAATTTTGAATACGTAACATGAAAATCCTATACCGTTCACAAGCTTACGGGAAGAATTTTTTGAAGGCCACATTGAATAGGAATAATTTCGATAAAAAAAAACATTTGTAGCTGCAGAATCATCAACTAATTGAATTTTCCTATGATCAAACAGGAATATGTTCGTCGATCAACTGTTGTTGAAAGTTCTGTGGCGCGCATTGATTTTTTAGCAATGAATTGAAGCGACTTTGGTGAGGGTCATTCGCAGTGGGCTTCTGTAACAGGTGTTGTTGCATGCGTTGGGTCGATGGTCTTATTGTACTGCTGCTGGTGGGAACGAGAAAAGCCAGTGTTTTTCCGGAATAGAATGTTGATGAAAAAAGCTTTTCCTGAGTTACTTTCGTTTTTTTTCACCAGATCCAGAGCAAGAGCAAGAAGAGCTCTTCTTCTACAGATACAGACCCGAGCGGCTGGACCAGCTTTGTAAGATCTCCAACTTCACCAAGAAGGAAATACAGCTCATCTACAGAGGATTCAAACAGGTGAATAACATTCATTCCCAACCTATAACATTAAGAAAATCTTTTCGTTTTCGTCCAATATCGTGGATATGTTGGTCCACTCGCTAACGATAATTTTTTCAACTTTCTTAGCAGAGGAGAAGCTCAGCATCATTTCCTTCGTTCTAAGGCTGCATCAGAAAGATATAATTTGAGGAAATATCTCAAGAGTATCTCGGAAAGTTGAAGGATTAGGAAAAATCCCCTTGTAGATTTTTTTCTTTTTCAATTTTTGGGGTAGATAGGCTATGATGAATCAGCGGACAAACTTCAGCACGATTAGTTACCCGAACGATAGAATGATATTCAGTTCCAAACTTTTGGTACTTGCTCCTCTGATTCTTGAAAACTCGAAGTTCTGTGGAAACGTTGAGATATGTAATTAAAAATCAATGATTCACAAATATCTGAAACTTTTTCGAAGGAATTTTGAGGCGAATAATGCACACAAACGCTGGTTTCTCTTCCTCCAGATTTTTCTTACTTTTTTTTCGTTAAATTCAGAAAATATTATAACGTTTTTTGTCGGTTTAAAGTGTACAGGTTTCATAGCGTGATTTGAGTGGCCTGTTCTGGATAAACCATGACACATTTTTATCTCCTGCAGGTATTTTTCGTCCTCTTGTATGTATTTGTATTAATACGGAAGTGTATCAGGAATGCACTGGATCGAAGCTTAAACGAAGTCATATTTTAATATGAACAATTTATATAGGTTTTCTGAACCATTTGCTTCATTTTTTTTTCTTCTGTAAAATAAACCCGAGCAACTCTGTGAGCAATTATACTAAACATACCGAGAATCTCTCCAAAAATTCTTCGGGTACGACACCCCTTAAAATGTAATGCCCAGCAAGGATCATCACGAAAATTACAGCAATAGAGCCACCCTTGATCTGAGAAGCTGTAAGATTTTACTCACGAACTTTTCATCTACCCATTTTCAGAGAAAGAATCTTTGCGATAACGTGGCGAACAAAAATAATGCGTTTGACGTTCACTCATACCCGCAGCGAGTTTTCTATAAGGCGATAGTGAAACGGCACGACACGGGGAGAAATTAAGCTCGTTTTCGCGGAAAGACGAAAAAAAAATATATCCAGGCAAAAACAATCTAGATTCTGGAGTGAGGAAGGAAAATAGATAAGCTGCAGCTTAAATCCGACACGCAATGAACACGTGAAAGAAATAACCACTTTCCTTTGCTCTATATATAGGCATCACGTACGTGAAAGTTCCCCATTTTTTTCAAATTAAAAAAGGGAAATCTTTTTTAAAATTAACGGCGGTCTCAGCCTTTGAACGGCCAATCTTTCAAATGATATTTACACCGAAGCTTTGATCTTTATTGATATCTCCTTTAGTCGTTGATAACCCACAGCCACACTCGGGTTCATCGTAGATAAAGTTATTTGTCCACTGTCTGATGATAATATCGTGATATTGAAATTTGATTTCAAACTGTAGAGACGTTGATTTCCAGAGACTATAGAGATATTGATGGTTGATTGAAAACTATTTCATTTCAAACTTCTTCTGTATAAGTGCTTCAAAGGTTCCAAGTTAATTAGGATTTAGTCCTTTGTAATTTTTTGAAGTTCTTGTGAATCCCTGGAAATAAAAATTGCCTTCAATTAAAAAAAAAAACATCTTAGAACTACTTCTTTTTGTTCGCTCATTTTATGAAATTAGGACAGAGCACGACAAAGAACTTCGAAATCTGAGTCCGTGTATATAAAGTGTCACAAAACATTTCCTTGAAAAATGTTCCGAAGAGACCGTATTCTGAAAAGTGTGTGAAAATATCAAATGCTTACGGACGAAAAAAATGTAAAAACATGTTAAATAATGGTCTTTCCCTACGTAAAAATACATCGGTCAAGTGGAAAATTCGTTAAAAAAAATAACATTTATATGTTCTTCACACCGGATCTTCGCAGGTTGAATCGTTGACTGCATTAAAATAATGACAGATTTGTTGTTGACATGCACTTCTTTCATTTTAGATGAAAATACTGTAATCGAGTGTGCACAATTTTTGCTAGAGGTGGTTTCAAACGATTTTTTATTTGTTCCAAAAAATCCAACGCATTTTTACAATCATATTTCCATTTTTAGGGAAAGCTGGCTCTGATACAGAGATGAATATTTGGATACCAGGTCCTACGATAGTAATTTCATAAATTTTCGACAGGACGCAAATGCAGTTTTCCCAAAACATGAAAGGGTCTTCAGATTTGTTAGGCACTTCTGACGATAAATTCGTAAAATTAGCTAGAATATCATCTTCCCCTCGAAACAAAATGCTTTACCCATATGGAAACCTAATAAAAATATGTATTACACCTAAGTTGGTCAGATAAGAGAGTAGAGATCATCATCATCAGATTTAGCCCAGATCAATCAGATAGTATTAGTTGAAGCAAAAATTTGCTGAGTGGTTGTTATCCCTTCCGTGGCAGAGCTGGGAGATGTTTGCCAAATGTGGTGCCATGCAGCATTTGAAAAAAAAAAAAATTTTTGCTGAGGTCAGGAGAGCCCAAGTCAGGAAAAATCCAATCATTTTTCATCTTTCAACATAGCAATTTTATTTCTGAAAAGTAAAAAAGAGCGGCTGCTTGGAACGTAAAAGGGGGTGTAAGGCAACGTCCCCAGTTTTATTGTTATTGAAGTTGAAAGGGCCTAAAAAAGGTCGAAACCGATAGGTCGGTTCCGACGAAAAGTCACTGGAAGACGGTTTGACTTTAAAGCAAGCCTGCAAAAATATCCTGGCTCTGCTGCCTGATGGAAATCTAACTGCTGCCGCCCAAGGGTTGAGAATCCTTTTTGTGTGCAAAATACACCTAAGCCTTTAAATCAGGAATTAAACCTGAGAAGGAATTCTGGCCCTATCCTGAGCTCATTACTGCTTTTTATTTGCATTGCTTCATCATTTAAATCCAGCTCAGCAAACACCAATTTATATTGAGGCAACATGTGTCCCCAAAATAAATTCTATGAAAAATCTTGAATGAAATTGTGATGGAATAAACTTGATAGGTGTGTATATGGAGTTTTTATCTCTTTCCCTTCAAAAAATAATCAAGGCACTGGCAAACCCCTATAACATGGGGAAAAAAGGAAAGAACTCCATGGGACTGAGACATTGTCATACTTAACACAGAGAAAATTGTTGTATACAAGCTAGACATGATCATTGTAGAGATTATACTCATGTATTGCGGTTTTTCTATATCTAGGATGATGTTGAAGACATCGCTATATAAAGTCTCAGTTAGAATAATGATCGGAGGTGTTTTCCTTCTATTTGTGGATCGTCTTTGTCGAATGCCACATATATGTAGTAGATTCTTTCGTGGGAGTGGTCAGGCCTATCATCCATCAAAGGAACCAGACACTGCTGACCATGATCATACATCCTGTGACGCACGTCCGGTCGGTGTGAAAACTTTGCTTCACTTATGTCTTTGAAAAGCTCGAAGTCACATTTTTGGTATGCGCATAAATCAGAAAATTTTCAAATCACGCGGAATAGTGGAAATTTGCATGGTTGTTACGTGATCTCAAACTTTTAGCTATACAGGAAAAGTTCAAGGCCTTGCTCAAATTTCAGGTGAACTTTGGACGTGGACGATCTTTTGGGTATAATTCCGCAAATTGAATCATTTCCCAGAATTGCCCAATGACCTTGATACATTTGTTTGATCAGTTCACGGCGACCACAGGAGGTTTTCATGGATCTGGAAAATTGCAGAGAAATTTTAAAAGAATATAGACCAGTAGTGAATTTTTACACGAAAGAAAATATGATCTTACCTACAGATATGGCAATAAGTTAGGCTTGGAGTTTTCGCCAGAACTCTCTATAATTATGTCCAAATGAAAGTATCAAAATATACCTTGAAAAATAATGCCCCTCAATTTTCCTTTTTGAGATTCTTCGCTTTGTCAGAGCAAATTCTTAAAAATAATCCACAGTACCTCTTCCACGAATCATAATTTGTCTTCCTGGCCAATTTCAATCAATTTTAAAATACATATTTATTTCTAATCTGTATTTCCAGCCCGTAATCATTTGTAGAGTCACTCTTGCGATAATTGTAAATCCAAATGGTAAAATCTGTCCATTATTTCAAAAACGCACAGCTTTGTTTAACAGCACATTTGGTTCATATTAATGTGCGAAGTTCTTTTTTATTCAAATCGGCAGTCAACTGAGGAGGTTTACAAATATTTAAGAATATTGCCCTCCATAAATCAGCGAGAAATCCGCCCGAAGCACGAAAATAGTTTGAAACTTTTTTTGTTGTATCACATTGTATGTGACAGTTGGGTGGGTATATGGAATAAAAATAAGCTACGAAAAATGGGGTCATATTTTGTCGGCCTAGAAAATTTGTTTTTATGTGGTTTTTTCGCAAACTTCGCCAGAAACTGAAACTTCATGCAGTCAAACCAGCTCCAGTGTAACATCAGCAGTCTCATTGGAAATTTTCTGGTATGCTTTTCATAGGACAGTTTTATTTCAGAAAATGTATCCGAATCTTTCTTGGTAAACTTTCAAACGTTCCCTTTTCTTGTTCAACCCGTTGAATAGACGTGTAGTACAGTATACGTACATGAAAAGATATACTGTCTGTGGGATGTGCCCGTCGCGAGCCATGATTGAACCCACATTTTCTAGGCTCCTCCGGACACTTCTGAGCATACCGTATATTTTTCCCCGCAACAGTTTGGGTTTTCCAAGCTGAAGGAAGACTCTTTTTTTATTATCTACGATCCTGCTATTCGAATGCGAGCCACGTGTATAGATAGACGGATACGTGTGCTAATCCGAACATATCCCCGTGTATGTACCCGCATTTCGTAGTATAGACCCCCGACATGAACCCAAGACATTGGAAATAGTGTCCGCTGGAGAACGTGGGCTTTTGTCGAGAGAACCTGGAATTTTGCTTGCGAATTTTGCTGCAGTATTTCCGCGTTTACGCGTTGGAAGATGCATTGATTTCTTGCCTCCTCAGAAATGGCTATTAAAAAATACACGGGGAATGAAACGTGAGGAATTCCTGGGATTATCTGCGGATCTCTGTGTGATTTGTATTTAGCGACTGTCCTGGGCAGTCTTCATATACACTGATGACGTAACGCTTCATGCAATTTCAGGAATTGAAGACAGTTTTATTAGAGAATCGAATCGTGAAAATACACAGTTTTTTGTTCAAAATGCTCTCTTAAATTTACAAATGGGAAACAATTTTAGATTCCTATCTGCACTAGTTCGTGAAGAACATCATGATTCGTTCATACGAATGCAGTATGCAGTAAATATTCGGGAAACGGTGATTCAGAACATTTCTCGTCTAACTTCAAATGTAATTATTTCAAGAATTGAATGCAGAACACTTAAACGGAATGTTCTTATACGTCTAAGGTAACAATGTCAAGGTACGCAATCTGTTTTTCATTGTCCACATTTCCACACGGACTCATGTAATATAATTTTCTGACGCAGTGACAGATTAGTTCAAATTTTATTCAGCAAGTCTTTTCTTTGTCTTCTTATTTATTGATTTTGTAACTATCATATAAGCTCAAATTCAAGTGGTACTCTGCAATGGATTTCGAAAAGACTTTATCGAAGTACGCTACATGCTACGATATTTTGTATAAAGAAAGGCAGATTTATTTTTTTAGCGGGAGTGCAAAATTCTCTGGTTAGCATTCGTTTAAAATTTCAAATAAATTTTTAGCATGATATGGCTAACTTCAGAGGAATACGTGCAGTAAACCAAAATAAGGGAATTACTGACTTGAAATGGCTTTGAAATTTATGGATATCGAGCTATTTTTCGAGCTATGCACGTTTTTGAAATTCTAAATTTTTTCAAAAAATGTGTTTGGAAATACGCAAAAAAATAAGCACCCTCTGAAAATACTATACATCTTAGGCCCAGTGTATTTATTGAAAAATGTCCTCAGCCTTCCTTTTCCATATGTTGTGCATTTCCACCCTCTCTTTGGTAATACAGTACAGCATATTAGAGTATGATTTATTCATTAGCTTCATTCGCTATAATGACCAAGCAGATTAACGAATACTGTATATATAAAGCACCGAATCAGGAAAACTCTCTTCAATCCCTGTTCACGAACGCACTTCATTCATATTCAATCCGCATTTCCAAATATATTGAAGAAAAAAGAAGACCGGAAAAAAGCCTGGTGTTGGTGCTGGATTTACTACTGTATACTATCCAATATAGCCATCTCACTTTTGCTTTGAAGAACGAAATGAAGAAAAATTCCAAGAATTCACTGCAGGGTTGGTTTCCTCTTTTCAGGAATGCCCGACGGGGATCGTCAACGAGGAGCTGTTCAAGGATATCTTTGCTCAGTTCTTTCCCCAGGGAGGTGAGCTTTCATCATCAGAGTAGACGGCATGAACAAATAAATTGCCGAGCGTTTTCTTTCCCGTCCCGTGATTAGCAAAGCACGGGAATGCAAATCCCCTCTTCCCTTGGCTAATCACCTTTTCGCCCCCCGAAGATGATCCTGCTGGAACCTTATCTCAACTGGTAGATGTTGAGCCTTGCTCGAGTGGCTTGAGAGTTGAGTCCGCGCTTTATATACTGAATTTTCTTTGACGCGGAAAAGAAAAAGCTGACTGTGCATTTTACTTTTCCTTTTCTGCTGATCTTCCAAACAATTTATTAATTTGAAGAATGAGAAACCTTTCGCGGGAAGTATTATAGAGGAAATGAAAATGTATTCCACGAAGGGCGGTATGCTTTTGAAGCCTTTTCGACCGTTTTTGTTTTGAAGAGACAATAGAGAGAAAGGTTGAGAATGAAAGACATATTTGGTGAGAAGTGCCATATTGGATGATGAAAAGTGATCCCAGGCCTTCTAGGAAAAGCACGCCAACTGCACATTACAGTATTATGATACCTTACCAGTTTAAATATACTGTATAGTAGAAATTGGTTTCCAGTTGATTTCGGTTTCAGAATAGGACATTCGCACAGATGAATATTCCCGTGAATTGAATTCATTTGAGAGATTTTTGAAAAGGATAACTCATCAAGCATCCCTCCGGCATAAATGACAGAAATGAACACGGTGGTTGAACTTCGTGTGAAACAAGATATGTGGGACAAAATGTCTCGGGAAAATTCGTAGAATAGAAATTGAAGTGGATTACAATGGAGCTGAAAGAATTATTCAGCAGAAAGAACATTTTCTACACAAGAAAGAAAAATCAGCCCTGTTTTACATATTCTGTGGAAAATTTCTCCAAAAAAGTCACCCTGGTAGCTTTCTGATCTTCACAAAAAAATCTGCGAGATGGTTGCACCATCTGATCTTGACTCATGGGCGAAGAGCAAAAAGCTGCAGGATCGAGGATGAATTTTGAAAAAAAAAAATCCACAAATTTGTCGAACAGGGCTGAATTATCCTTTTGATGCTGAAGAATTTTCTCTAAGTATAATTTTCCCAGCTTAATCACATCCTGTTTCAATTTTGATTCGGAGAACATCTGTTATACCTTAAATTGTATTATAGAACCTAAGATATAAGAACTAAATGATGCAAGCTGATGGAGGTGCCCAGCCGCACCTGGGCATCAAAATGTTTCAAAATGTTTTGGAAGTTTGAATCTCTTATTGATCAGGATCACAAAATATCCAAGTTTAATTATATGCAGGTCACAATTTTCTCATGAACAGGGTTTCCCTTCACTCAATCACACTTGGCCACTGGAGTGTGCTACAACAGCTGATGTTCAATATATTTTAAAATTTGAAAAAATTGGGTAACACTAACTTGTGATTTCAACTTTAGATGATTATTGAAAATTTATTATTTGCCTCATCACAATTTTTTTAAAGAATGCATGTGCACTTAAGAAATCACACACTTTCTTGTATACATCTATAAGATATGAGAACATGTATAATTGAAATTCTTCCACCGCCTTAACCCCTGCGGGTCTTGTCAGCATTTATCCTGGAAAATTTCGTGCCACACAGAATAAAAAAAATGAGAAACAAGAATTAATAGAAGAGCTAAAGTTTAAAAAAATCCAATATCTTTTCAGCATTCCCGCACGGAAATCTTCATCAAAAAGAAGAAAAAAAAATTATGTCTGAGGGCATTTTTCTGCATTCCTGCCATAGGATTAGCCTTGAGGGATTTTAAGCACAATGGGTTTACCTTTCCAAGATTTTTCCAGACTTTGGCTAAAGTCAGCCAAAGTTGCATTTTGGGGAACTTGGATCAAACCAAAATGCACAAGCTTGCAAAAATATTCCAGCACTGCCTTGGGATGTAATTTGACCCATCACTGCCATCCAAGGGTTAACAACTCTGAAACAATGCTTGAAAAAGGAACTCAGAATTTTTCACAAAACGTTTTGACAGTCTGCTATTAAGTGCCATTTTTCCATGCAAATACATTATCTTTAAATAGGGGAATGAAGTATTCTTGGTGAAAAATAAAAAAAATGAATAAAAACTTCCAGAAAACCCGTATTGCATGACAGATATGAGGAGAATGTTGTTCCAGGAGGCTGAGGAAAGACTCTGACTCCGGAGTCGGAAGAATTGCCCCCAAGGTTCTCCCCCTGCATGTCCATATAATCGCGCTGGGACGTGGGGATGCTGTGAAGAACAACACAGAAACCCGCTGGGTTCATCAGCAAATTGCGTGTGCTGTATGTACTACGCGCATATGCCTCGCTTTGTCTGCTGTTTTTCTTTTCTTTCTTCGTGGCCCTGTATAACAACACACAGCTGTTGACGATTCACTCATGAAGATACGATGAAATGGAGCTCCGGCATTTTGGGCTGCATTCTTCAAGACGTGATATACAGACAGGTCTTCCTATTTATTGCACATAGCTCTCTCGCCACAACAAAGAGGGAATAATATACTTTCACGCTTCTCCCACAAAATCGGGCTTCTTTTCATGAGGTTTCGTGTACTGTATTTCCCTGGAAAAGCGAGGTACATGAAAATGTAGTGGGGCCCCGAGATGCGGACTTGATTGGTGTTTTTGGACATTGACCCTATGTCGGAATAACGTTCCGCATGTCAAATAGTGTTTCCTCTTTGACTTCAAAGGTAATAATTTTCAAATGGTTCTCATGCAGATCGATAGTCAAGAAAAAACCACCAAAAATTGATGTCATATCATTAATTCTCAACTTATTCAAGATATTGAAAATAATAGTACAGAAAAAAACCTCGAAAAATTTGATCTTCGGGCATGAAAAGTAACCCGAAAAGCAAAGGACAAGCAAACGTACATATCTAGTGCTCAGATGATAAAAAGAACTCTGAAAAAAGAAGCATCAAATCAGCTTTTGTTGGAATAAGAATATCAGTACATTCATCATATGATATTTACAATTTGTGAATACGAAAGCTCATTTTGTTTGAGATACCAAAGTTTTGAAATAAAACTTTTTTTCCGTTTGCTTGGATGTGTTGGTCAAGTACTCAAGTCTCAAGTGTCCATACCATGAGATATCAGGATGTCGGGCAGATTTTTGAGTTATCAAATGTCCCCAAGTAATATCGTCCTTATGTTGGGGCATCCGCGTCTTCGTTTAAGTCCTATAATAAGGTGTCTTGCAGATTCTCTTTTTTTGGGGGGGGGGGCATAGAAAAAAAAGCTAGGATGGAAACGGAAGAAGGGGATTTTCCGTCGCGATGCATTCGAATCCGAATCCACTGAATAATCCAAACGAAGCCCAAGGAAGTTTGGATCTAAAATTCCTGATATTCTTATCGAAATTTCTATACTTTCCAGATGCTTCCACTTACGCACATTACGTGTTCCAAACATTCGTCAAACACCAAGACAGCAATTACGTCAATTTTGAGGTGCGTCATGGTCATTCTTCACTAAAAATTATACATTATTCTCATGACATTTTTGCTTAGGATTTTTCAAAATTGCTTTGAAGGAGAGAAACGAATGATGGCTGAAAAAACTATTCTTTCAGGTCTATGTTAACGTTCTACCTTCTTGAATTTGAGTGTAATACAGTTGTGCCTTGATAAATCGAACCTCTTCTATAGTCAAATACTTCCCTGAGTCCAATATTCTTCAACAAGTCAATTTCTGAATTCCCTTAGAAACAATCCATTAAAAACCTCCCTAAAGTTAAAGTTTTTCCGCCTCAAAACCTCCATAAATTGAATTTTCTGGAATCCTTTTGGCTATTATTTATTGATACAGGAAATATAAGAGCAAGAAAAATGCCTTTATGGGTTTTGAAAAAGAATTGAATCACTAATTCAGCTTCCTATCAACTCATCCGTAAAGCGAGTTAAGGCCTATGATATCACGAATCAAAATTTTTTGTGATTCTTTCTTTTTTCTCCCAAGTAAAATGCTTGCTTCTTTCTAACTCGAACCCTCCCTACAATTTAAATTTTTTTGATTGCCTTAAAAGTTAGACTCAAAGAGACTGAACTGTACTGGAATAACTGTAAAAACCTGCAAAAGTAAACGTTCAAGATGAGAATAAGTCTTCTGGTTTTCATCATACTGAGAACGTTGACTTATTACAGTGCGTCGTCCTGCATTGTACAGTATTGTAATTATTCGCCCTCCATTTCGCAGGAATATTTGAAGGTGTTGTCGCTCTTGTCCCGGGGTTCGATGCAGGACAAGGTGACCTGGGTGTTCCGACTATACGACCTGAACGGCGACGGACGCATCACCCGAGCAGAGATGTCCGAGGTCGTGCATTCCATTTATGACCTGCTGGGCAATGCCACCGTGCCACACGTCAGCGAGTCCGCCGTCAGGGACCACGTCGACAGGGTCTTTGACGTTAGTTGCCGTTATTGCCAGAAATTGCCATTCACTCTCGACACCGTATTGTATTGTCGTGATCGTAAATGACGTTACCTTCCACATTTCGGGAGATGGGAGTTACGAAAGAGGATCGTTTTATAATTCCCTGTATTTATTCGAGTGTCACGCACCCGTGAGTATAATCAGACGAACACGTTGATTTCTGGCATAGAATTTGCCCAAAATCTCAACTCCGTGTATGTATATAGCGTGGAAATATGTTTCTTTTTTCCTTCAAATAATGGTGTTTATTTTATGATTTTCACGAGAATAATCTTCATAACTTGAAGCATTGCATCATCAGGATATAGGTACCTATTACTGCGCCATCAAACATAATTTCCTCGCAATGCGAAGATTCCCGTATGACGAGCACCACTCATTTCCCGAATTCAACTTCATTATATTTTATTATACTGCATTATATTTTTGAAGAAAAAAGGTTCGAGTAGTACCCGGGTAAATACGGCAACCCTCCTTCAAGACCCACTGCATTGAGTTTGGCTGAAAGTACATGTGATTATGAGAGTAGAAAGATGCGGTCAATATCGTATATAGAAATAAGTTCATAAAAGGAGCTCGCGAAAACGAGTTCAAAATAATAATACGAAAAGCCTCGAAATGTTTATTTTTGACAGCAAATCACGTAGTGAGCGAGCAGCAAAAGGACACGCATAGAAAATTTCATTTTTTTTAAATGATGGGCTTGTGTATTACAGGAGGAAAAAATGCAATATTTGGATTTGAAAAAAAAAATATTGAAGGAGTAAAGTTTGGAAAGCAAGTTCCTTATTGATAAAGAATAATGCTGTTATCCAAAAAGCAATTTTGAAAAAGAACGAAATTTGAAAATATCAAATAACGAATCTCATTAAAAAATCAAATACTGTAAGTACAACGCTCAAAATTTGAGCGTGAAAAAGAGTGAGTAGGACGATTTCGAAGAGTAATTTTTTAAAGATCAATTTACTCAAAAAAGCGTAAAAATAAACAAGTGTGCAAAAAGAGATTCTGTAAAAAAGTTCACATATTCAATTCATGAACAATTTCACACACACACGCACAAACACACAAATAAATTTTCAACATCATCATTAACTAATGTCGGGTTGTATATACTAACCTTTATTCCTTCGACTCTCAGCTTTTCTGGAAAACTCGTGATATTTTCTCAGTACAGTACTGTTCATCATAAATATTTGGTATGCATTGACTGGATGCCACATCGAAAAGACTCTTCTATATTTTTCGGATCGACTTCTGCCCTTTTTCCCCACGTGTCGATGCTTACGATCTGATGGATCATTTACCAGAGAGAAAGAACGGATATACTTCTAAATTACCTCAACGGAATCCCCATATGTGAAGTTAATAAAAGGTGGGGCATCGTTCCACCGCTGGAAGCTATAAGTCTTTATAGGGTTAATCAAGGCTCGAATATAACTCACATCCTTGCCATTAAATCGTATGGCACAGAATGAATACGAGTATACGAAAAACTGTACTTTCTTTTTTCTTCATTTCAGCAAATGGACAAAGACCAAAAAGGGACACTAACGAAAGATGACTTCCTGCGTTGGTGCACCCGTGATGTCAGCTCGAGGGAAGAATTGTCAAAGTTCGACACCGTTTTGTGATCCGCAATGAAAATTCGTCATCTTCGATGTATTTATACCCTCTGGCGGTGATTTTTTCAGTAATACTGTAATTGGGAAATCCGAACTCTCCCCAGTTACCAACCAACCCAACCTCGTATACGAACTCAGGACTGAATTTTCGTTCATTGTTGTAATTGTTTTTTTGTAGCTTCCGTCACGTACTGTAGGAAAATGAGTGAAGGTTTTGGAGACTCTTACGTGAAATTCCCTGTAGCGATGCGAGACTGAAGCTGAGATTCTTTTTTCTTCGCTGAATCAACTTCCAAATTTTTCAAATCGTGTTCTTTTTCAACCATGAAGAAAGGCACCAGATGCAAGAGAAACTCGTGAAGTAAGTCATCGAATGTGCAAATGTCTCCAGCTATGTTTGTATTTGTGAACGTGACATTCCTTTTTACTATAGTACATCAAGTGAAATCTTCCAAAAAAAAATTCAATTATATTCTTGAGACGCTTGAGAATTTGTTGAACAGCGGAATTGATTGAAGCACTTCGTGTACAACGCGTTTCGATTTTCTTATTTCATCAATACTCGTACAATCGTACTTTCAAAATCTTTCAGATTTTCAAAGTTATTCGTTCCGAAAATTTCGAAACGTTTAGAATTATTTTACAGATTTTTAATCAGTTATTATCGAGGGGGTGTGTGGAAAATTGCACACGGACACGACCCACTGGAAAATGAACCCGCGGGTCTGCGTATTTGAAAAAAAAAAAAGACGGAAATTTGGTTTTTCCTGAAATCGATAATAGGCTGTTATTTTTCTGACATTTTATCTTCGTTTACGAGTACTCTGACGTAATAATCAAATTCGAGTTTGATGAGACAGATCAGACAACGAAGTTGGAGGAAGTCCTTCCGCGTGGGAGAGTTTGTATAGTTCCAACGGCTAGTTTATGCCAGTTTCTGGGAAAAGGCCCAAGTTGTTTGCCCCTCTTAAATCCTAACAGGAATAGGATTGTTTTTCCTTGTATTCCTATATTTTTACTTGTGTCATCAGCGATGAATGAGGTGAGCAATCACAGAAACAAAGAAGCAAAATTCGCAGCAACAACAAAAGGATAGGGTTGGCTTTCCAACGCTAGCTTGCACCATGATCAGCTTCAAAGGAATTGCTCTCCTTGTTGTTTTTGTGTGTATGCCATTTCCAGAATTAGACTGAATAAACCCAACCTGTTCCCAACTGTGTCTTGTCATTTTATTCAAGTTTACTGCGTTAGTGATTATTACTGTGATCCTTGGGAAGAATTCGATTATACAGTCGTTTTGGGGAAGATACCATCACAATATCACCGTAATGCAACAAATTCGCTTTTCTTGAAATATATACTGCACAGTAGATTTAGTGCATACATTTTTTGTCGATCGTACCTTATTGAACCTTCGTGAAGCTGGTGGATAGACAAGATAGCGAAAACTACTCTGATGTTCAAAGGTAGTACAGTATATGATGGTCGATGTTCTCATTAGTGATGCTTTCTGATGTATCGCATCGCTCCATTACTGCGACATCTAGGCAAACCTATTTGTTGCACGCATAGTATCATTATTTTGTCGTCACTAGATGCCACTGCATACGCAACTGCACACACCCACCACCGGTACATTTTGTTCGGTGAATGACTGACATCTCCAGCAGTGTTTTTCCAAAAGCACTGTCGTACAATATATTATTTGTGGATTTCTGGACGAGAAATCGAGCCATTATTCATTTTACGAATGCTTTTTCTGTGCTATAGGTGAACTAATCGTGGATTATGATAGACATTGGCCTTATCTATGAATAAATGACATTGATTATGATTACATTCACTGACTGAATAAAAAGTTCACATTTATCGCAATCGACGTATTTTCGAGATTAATTAAACAAAACTCGCTCACCTGATAACTATGCATTTGTTGAAATGCATTCTGTTCGTGTACTTCTTTCCTTTTGTGCCATTCTTCTCACTTTCGTTTCGCAAGCTTTCGGTCAATGTCCGGCAGAGGAAATTATCCTTCCTTATTGTACCTGCGAATTCGACGAAGATTATGGCATGGACATTTTCTGCGGTGAAGTGACAAGCAGTAACCAGTTAAGAGTGGTAATTCATTAATCCTCCTCGTGAACATTATTATTCGAATACTGTGCTGTAAATCCTCATTCTTGGGTCGTGTACAGTATTTCGTTATTTCGTTTCGAACATTTGCCAAGAAACGTTTCATGGAATGGTGATGATGTTCAAATGAATTTTCCGCTGTCGAAGAAGATTTCAGATTTTCTTTCTCTTTTCCGCGCTTATTACAGGAAAGGTAATGAAAACAGAACCGAGATCTTGAGAAAATCTTTCCCGGAGTAGTTTTAATGATCGGAGACATGGGGAAATATTTATACTTCTGGAACAAATTCAGAAAAATGAAACCGCACAAAGACTTCCTGAACGTTTAAAGTCGTCCAGAAGCTCAATTCTTCCGTCACAGAGAAATGTAAAACTATTTATTTATTTTTGATCAACAGCGCATCCTGTTAAAAAAGAGAACCAAAGGACAATTTGACGAACTGTTCAAGCAGATCTGAAATTGTTATGTGAAACAAAAAGGGAAAATTCCATCTTATCGATTCATGATGTATTTGGAAGATATATCTGGCTGTTGAAACAAACAATAGAATAGCTTCTTACAGAACTACAGTATATCATCCAGAAGCACACGATAGCTTTATATTATTCTAATACTGTATACGGTATTACTGATGGAAACGTTCGTGCTTAGTCAGCATACAAGTCTTTTGGAAGAGATGCATGAGGCATATTTCTGAAAAATTTCATGGATTGCCCTCTTTTACCTTTAAATCAGGTATAATTTTAAGAACCGTTTCCGGTGATGAATCTGTTAGAAAATAGTCATCTGTTACTTTTATCGGGTTCGTGTATAAGCAGTTAGATCTCGAGCAAAATACCTTTTTCGTCGCAGATTTTCTCGCAGACTTTTCCAAATGACTCCCTGACAAGATTTTGGGCCTGGGGAAGCGGAATAGAAGCTTTACCAGCAGGTGTTTTTGGAGGCAAAACCTTCGAATCCATCAACGTTGGCAACACTGCTGCCTCCTCAATCAACACTGGTGCATTTGACTCGGAAGACTTTCGTTCACGTGTCGTCGACTTGTTCCTTAACGGATGTCAGCTCAGTAACTTTTTCACTTCCGGAGTGCTAGAGATCCTTCCGAATCTCAGATCACTCAGTATTGGACAAAACTCAATCACTCAGGTAATTTGAATGAGTTGGAGAGCATATCAAATTAATTTGTATGCCTTGAATGCAGTCATTTTCCCGCAGTTACCAGAAGTTATCCCCGGAAGCTTCAACCTGGAAACATTATTCTTGGACGGTAACCGAATCAATCAGGCCTTGAACCCGGAAGTGTTTTCCAATATGGTTAATTTGACATTTCTGGACCTTTCGATGAATGGATTCACGGATTTTCCGTCAAATGTTTTTGCAAATCTTCCATCGTTGAGGAGTCTTCACTTTATGAACAACCAATTGACAACCCTCAAGACGGGGTTCCTGAATTTCAACTCTGACAATTTGGACTACGTAACTTTCGAGAATAATCGGATCAGTTTCGTCGAGGTTGGAGCCATTCAAGGTACGTTCATAAAAATCAGTCAATGTTGTTCGTGGCATTGGAAGCCTGAATTTGATGTATTTCATCGCAAAAATAATTTATAACCAACCGTAAAAAATTCTGCGATGTGATTTTTCTTCGAGTCTCTCAAATGGTGATTTAGACTGTAATTTCTTTTTACAATAATTTTATTATTTCCCCCATATTCGTACCTTATTGTCGCGGAAAATTGGATGTTGGGGTAAAAAAAGCTGAAATTTTCATCATTTTTTCAATGTATACGGATTCGTCTTTTCAAGTGTTTTCCAGAGAATATTCACATTTATTCTTTTTTTTTTCTTGGCGACAGGAAATTTCGGCCAAATGAGACTGGACCTAAGCAATAACTTCCTCACCACGTTTCCGGAAAATGTGTTCCGACCAGTTTTTGATTCTTATTTGACGAATCAAGGAGGAACTGTGTTTGTTACTGGTTTGTGAATGCAGTAGTTCTATGCTGCACATTCATCAAAGAATAATCAAGTTATTTAAATTTCTTGAAGATAATCCAATCGAATGTGGGTGTGACATGAAGTGGCTGACAGCATTGGAAGGAGGCGAGGAGGATGAACCTTCTTACATGTGGTACATTCATGGAAATTGTCCTGATGGAAGATATATTTCTGAATTGGATTCCACTGACTTCTCACTTTGCTAATAAAAATGAAAAATCCGAGTTTGAATGAACGCACAGTAGTACGTGTTTTTTTTACCTCTATATATATCTACAAACTACTGTAGAATGCAACGAGTAGGAAGCTCTTTTTCGTGTTTCTACCTTGTTCTCTGCAAAAGAAAAGTTGAAAAATTCTACAGGAATCTTTTGTATCTGTGTGACCTCATGAACCAACAACACAACTTTGAGCAATAAATCACTTCCAAAGCAATCCGCCAAAGTTGGGTTGTGTACTTTTCAGAGTGTTGAAATTTTTTTTTTGCGATGTTTATTCCAAGTAAAAATGTACCGTGTACTGGTGTACAGCATTTTCATATCTTCATGCAATTTTCATTTGAAAATTTAAGCTCATTTCATCATTCGAATTGAGTTGTTGTCAATTTTAAACTTTCCAGACATACTATATGCACGAATTCAATCAGCAAGAACATATCCATATGCCTTTTTCCAAATTTCAATAATAATTCACATAGTAGGCAAAACATATCCGTTTTTTGCAATCGTATCTCGATCGTATCTTTGTGTGATGTCCGCAGATTTCAGTATTTTCTGGCTTTTTGGTTTTGGTCCGGAATTAGAGAAACGACAATTTTATTGACAGCGAAATTCGACTTTCTTATTTTAATTTCCTTCGCTCGTATAATTGATGAAAAAATAAAAACATTTCTGCATAATTTTTTGCTCTCTGTATGTAATTGTTTAGGCTATGATCAGAAAAAAAATCTGTTCATCTTCCGGCGAATGGGATCTTTCCAACAGAGTTGGTTCTGCTCTGTGAATGTTTTTAAACATTACTGTGATACCTCGTTCTGAATATTGGATGCAAATATCATTGTCAATCCATTTTCCGATGTCTAGCATCAAAATATAAATTCAAGAAATGTAAAACTATGCGCAATCAAAATGCCGCATTCATGTTACGGACCTTTTCGTATCTTGTTGACTATCAGCAAATATTCGAACTCGACTAGTGTTTTGTTGCGTGAAATTTTATGGAAGAAAAATGATGACCCGTGCGAAAATGACAGACCCAGAACCTGCTGTGCCATTCACCAAGAATATCGATGTCACTCCAAAATTACGACCCAGGCTTTTGTATCCAGAAAACACTTGATCCTCTCTCTATTCTCCACACGTTAGTTGAAAGGAAGCTTGACAAATGACTCAGGGTAACCCGTGTATATATACAGGACACAAGCTATCCCTATTGTCAAGAAATATCTTCCCCCTTCAGCGGTATTAGGTTACCCCGTTTTCATAAAAGTGGTTCTCAGTTGTGGTCCTTGCTTCAGTCATCGTGGATGAAAGGCTGATGGCGAAAATACAAAAATCTACAGAAACATGTCTGAATTTGAATGAGTATGAATCCGATTATTCTCACAAGAAAGTTGAGGCATGGCTGAATGAAAAATACAGGCCCGGTATTTGTCAAAATTTTTCGGAAAGTGAATCAATCCATTCATCAATCCCTTTTGACGACAATAAGACGCATCTTCAAAATGCCTCGTTGAGTGGCATTGATTATGATTTCAAGAAGATGGTCATACTTCAGATCATGGAATACGAAGAAATTAGGTAAAGAAAAATAAAATCTTGCGTGTAGTATGTGATTTAATTTGTGATGCAAATGTTTGTGAATATTTTAAAGAGTGATGCCCATGGTGATGAGAGGTCGAGTTTTGCTGCGGGCTTTGACTGGTGACGAATTTCTGGTGCTCAACAATCCTCAGTTCATGATGGATTTTCATCAGAAATACTTCTCTCACCAGCGCGGTCTATTTGAAAGGTAACGACATTTTCTTCATGTGTCAATATATTTGCAATCACTAAATAGAAATGACCTTTTTCAGACGAGCAGCAATTTTGCAGCAAGAAGAAATGAAGCGGCGTCACCGACTAAAAAATTTGACAAAACGGAATGGATAGTGTCTTATAATAGCCGCAGAAAATAGGCCCTTCTGTAATTTCAAGTTATCGATTTGTGAGATATTGTGCATGTCTTTTTATTTTATTTGAAGTACGTTATACACTGAACAAGTGTCCCTAAAACATGTCGTTTGATACATACAGGTAAGCTTGGGGAAATAAAAAGGTCTCCTGCATTTCAATTGTAGAAATATCAATCACAGACCACTCATTAATTTCAGTCTGAATGAATTACACATTTTGAAAATGCACACGAGGGTCTGTATTGAAAGCATTGCGTCTGATACTCCTTCTTACCATCAATGCATGCAACTTTTCTTCTTAATATACATTACGTGGACTCAAAAGCATCACAGTTTGTGATTTAGCCTTAGAATGTGAACAATTCTGTGTTTCTGGCTGCTGCTTTCAGTTTAAAATGTAGAAAATTCACAGTGGGTGCCATTTATTGATAATTAATTCGATTTAAAATTTCATATATTTATTATACTACAGTATATTGGAGTGATGGAAGCGTTGTACTAGAAATATTAAACATATCGAAGAATAAATCGTTTCTCTGACTCGTCAGCCGCATCGAACCAAGATATTCATAATCTACTGATTGATTATCCTCGCAGCAGGAGGAAATCTTCTCAAATGTAAGAGAAACACTTTTCGTGGAAGAACAATATTTCAAGTCGTGATTGATGTCCTTGCTCTACAAAAATGTCGAATAGATGGACTGACTAACGTGTTTCTTATCAACCTGTGGGATACCTTTCCTCTCATACATCGAATAATCGAGGTGTGAAACCCCCACAATAACACACATTTCGTGAAGAAAACTGCATAAATTTCTTTCGAAAAAAGGCTTGAAACTGATGTAAATTATGCTAATCCAATTTAACTATCATCAGCATTTCATCACTGCTGGGAGTCTTACTTGCAGACGGCAGGTATCACCAAAATGTTAGAGCGACATCTGACATCACTCTTGAATGTCTTCAATATCGGTTAGGACATAGTTCAGATAGATGCAACGTCCAAATTTTGTCGTTCAAATCCAAAATTCACTGGAGCTTATAGAATCCTCTGTTTCAACACTAGCTTTAAACAACTCGCTTTCCATCAATGTTATTGACACACTGAAGAAATTAGGAGGCAAAGAAATAAAATACAAAGGACATCTCTATCATTTAAGTTGAATATTATCTATTAATCCATCACACATCGAACCGGATAGTATTGATTGACAACGGTATACAGTGGAAGAAAATTCTGTGAGAGACTCGCATATTCGTACGAGTTTTTTGCGAATAAAATACGCAGCCTTTTTTGAATAGATCATAATACGGTAGTTGCATGGTTTTATGAGTACACTTATAAGAAGACAACTTGAGGAATCATTACTGAGGCACAACTCATCAGTGGGTTTGAATTCGGATGATGGAGCCGTGGAGGAAAGAAAGTTCAAATCAAACAGTGATGATTTTCACATCAATTCATTACCACAAGTTATTTTTAGGTATGGAATAAGGCTGAATATATTGTTACACGTAATTTCTCAATCATGGCCATTCCTTGTTGATTTATCGAGAATATACTTCAACGAGCACAATTCCGTAATCCGAAATTCACCAAAAAATCAAGATGCATCCACAATGGCTCTTGCCAGCATAGCAACTTTCTGCGCTCTGTGAATGACGATCGGGCATCTGTATTTCCTCAGAAACCTGCAGTCTTGAAAGAAGCCTTCGTTTCGAGGAAATCCGTGGGTCTCGTCAGCAAACGTCACGAGCCCTTAGCATATCATTTCATTGGATAGCTTTGATTATTGGTCAGTCGAGAAAATTTGAAAATGAAACTCACCATGCCCCCAAATTCTACCGCCTCGAAATTCTCCTTCGAATCTCATGCCATCAGCACGCCAGAAAATCCCGTGTCCATGGAACCAGCCCTGAAGGAACTCCCCTTCGTATCTGTAAAAAAAAAAATTCGGTCAATTCTGAAGAATAAGCTCTTGGTCGTCCAACAACGTAGCATTTGTTCAGAAGTTCATTGATTTCTCATAATTTTTCTGGCAATATTTCCATTGCACATTTTTATATATGGAATTTCCCTCATATGTCAAGTCGTCCCCTAAGAAACCCCAATATACAGAAGAATATAATTGCGCGAGCTGACTGAACATCGATATGATTCTCGTTGATGCTTGGCAGCATTTCTTTGCATAGAAAATCAATAAGTTGCATTCAAAGCTGTTGTACACGGAATCCTTCGCATAATTCGAAAATGATCGGAACGAGAAATAACAAGGACGCTCTCAGTCGGAACGTCCGTATACTTTATGTCGTTGGGGTCCCACTGCGTATCGCAATCAGCCCATGGTTTTTCTCTAGTTTCGTTGCTTTCAGACGTCGCCAAATTTTGCTAAACGATCCCGCAGTCAGTATATAGCAGTCGGGCCGATGAAAGGGATATATCGTAGCGCGAGACAAATGAAACTTTATAAAAAAAAAACCCCTCTCACGCCTTCATGGGCCACTACATGTATACATTTTTATATACTGTATATAGGAAAATACCAACGACTCACTTGGCGCCGTCTGGGAATCGGAGGACGCCCAGGCCCGAGAAGAGCCCTTGGATGAAGGAGCCGTCGTAGCGAGTGCCGTCGCTGAGTACCAGGTGGCCAGTACCTTCTCGCTCACCATTCTCGTTCCACTCGCCCAGGTACTGGCTCCCGTCCGCGTACTCGAACATTCCGATCTTGGCAGGCTTCTTTTTAGTCGGCGACGAACACGTCGAATCCACTCCTGCTGCCGTATGATGGCGAAGAACAACAATGCTACTGAGTGCTGGCAGTCAGTGCATATCATAATCAAGCTATATTTATGTATAGGGACAGCATGGAATATCAAATGAACACCATTCTTATGGAGGAAATAATTTTTCAAACAGCAAGTGACTTTCACCGGATTGCCTTGTAATTCGGGGGTCGAAATCCTTCCAATAGGTGCGTCCAAATATACTGTACTTTTTCAATTGTCGAGGTTTATAAGGTGTTTTACATAATTCCTTTATTGAAAGCGAGGAACTTCATTACGGGTAATGAAAATGAAAAATCAGCCACTGACCTCCAGTTGCCATGTCACTCTGTTTGGAGTACAGTACTTGCTCCAAAGCACTTGCTAATGAGTAATTAGCCTGAATACTGTGCTACACTTCACCGATGTCGAGAAACTGCCTCAGTTTGATGTAGGACCTGCAGACAACGACAGACGATCCATCAGTCCTCTGACTCTTTTCATTCACCAAACAATTCTCGGAAGAACTTTTCTCCGCCGTTGGATGTGAATCAGCGAGGAAGAAAAAAAAAGACGGATCAGTTTCTGGAAATCTATTTGCTGATGCCTGTACTGTATATCTGATTGAGGAATTATTGCTATAGCGAAAATAGCGACCCATTATGAAAATTATGCACACGTATTACAATACTGCGATAGATATCTTTCAGGCGTCAGCGATTCCTGGTGACCTCTTGAATCCCTCGAAAAGAAGAAGTTGAAATCATGAAGGAAACCGATTAAAAAAAAAGAAAACCAATTAATGCAGTTTTGATTTCTGAACTAGTTTTACATTAAAAAAAAATCGAGCCTTCTAGTGCGTACAGTATTTATGACGGACATGAGGTTTTCCGAAGTAAACTATATCAAATCAATTTCAGAAAACTTGGATTTTTCCCAGATTCAAGCATCACATAAATAAGAGGCGTCTAACGAAATTTCTTGAAATAGAAATCGACATGGTGGATGATTGAGCTGAGAAGGGATTAGTGTACAAAACATTTTGTTTCTCACTCGAAAAATTCAGCTTTTGCTCGCGGCAAAGCCACTGTGGAAACTTTCTGCTCTCCACTCAAACGAGGAGGCGTCCATCTCACAGATTTGCTTGGTGCACGGCAGCTTTTCCTTCAGAATTATTGAATTCCACATTGCATTAATTCCAAATGTTGACCCCAGGTCCTCCATTTTCATCAACAGCCGCCTTCACAGCCGCCACATTCTTATGGCACCTGTGAAGGCGGATGACCGGATGTTGATGGAAACGGCGGAATTAATAATCATTTCATGACGAAAACCCTTGAAATTAATGACGGGTAAATTTAAAGATTCCTCAGGTTAAAGCTGGGGCACACGAAAAAAAAATTTGCGAGATGGGTGCCTCGTCGTCTTTTAAGTTAAGAGAAGAAAGCTGGCTTGGGATGATTTTCGCAGAAAATTCCTGAAAACACTTTTGAAACAAGGCTGAAGTTTTTCGTTGCGCCAAAGAATTTTTTTTTTCTGGACAATAATGATTTTTCAACTCAATATCGTTTCGCAATTTATGCGCCAAAAACATTTGTTAGAGCCCTGGTATACACTGGATTCATTTTCCTGTGATTTCCGTCACTTTGAAATCTCCGAGTGACGGAACTGCACTGCGCAAAACCTATGCCACGGAAATGCCATCGTCAGATGGTAAGGAAACCCTAAAAGTGCCCGTGCTGGGGAAGCCCAATCCATTGGCAATCCCCAGCATGCACATGCTGGTCCAGAAAAAAAAAACTAAATAAAAAATAAAAAAGAGCTTCACCATCCAAAGGCCATGTTTCCTTGCTTCCAACTCCCACAAGCAGTTCACTGAACATAATTGAGGAGACCAATATATGAGAAGAATAAAGACAGAGGGGCATCATTTTTTGCTGTAAACCTTAATGATGGGCCAGGGATGCAGAGCTTGCGGGAGAAGGCAAATGTCCCATAGGACGAGGTCGAGTTCGTATACTGGATATGGCTTGGGATTTGGGAGCCTGCCAAAAAAACCAGGCACCGGAGAAACAGCTTGATCTGGTGGCGAGTCATAAATTATGCCTGATGAATGGATCCGAGCTTCAGGCCTGGTCTGGCTTCGATTATCTTTCATACTCACCCTTGCTCCCGGGATGGCATTCATCTCTGCCCCGTATTGTGGATCGCATGCAGTGAACTAACTGCTTGATTCTTTATTACAAACGACCAGCATGCAGCACCCAGGAGTCACTCACTCGATCTCCATTTCTTGCTCACAATATTCTGGCGGGATTAGTTTTCAAAAATTAAGGTGAAACGTACACGTTACAAAATCGAATGACTTCCGTTCACCATATCAGCATTTGAAGGGATGAAAGCAAGATTTAAAAAAAGGAATGGAGAAAAAAGTTTACATTTCTTAGGACTGGCTTAATGTGACAGTAGACAGTCTCAATGGTTACTTAGCACAAAACATTGAAATATAAAAGCATTATGCGGGCCACAAGGGAAAAAAAGGCACAATAAATGCTGTACAATACATTGTGTAATTCTTAAATTCACTTGATGATAGGAAAATATCCATAATAGTTTCAACCATGTCAGGAATTTACAAGATGTATTGTAAAGCATTTACTGTGCCTTTTTTCCATTGTGGCCCGCATAATGCTTTTCTATTTCAATGTGGTCCTTGGCCACTTCTGAGTTGGGCACCACTGAACTATACTATACTGTACCTACGAATCTTCGTCGAAGACTGCCTGAATTAGATGAACTTCAAGTGCACAGAATTGATTCAATCGGATGACGTCGAAGCATCTACGTATAAGAAATGCATCCCTTCGCACGCAGAGATGAATAAATCAGTCCAGTTCTTCGCAGCATCTATGCAAAGGATCTTTCGGGTGTCCTTTCAGGAACATGTAGAAGCTTTGACATTTTAATATTTTTTACATCAATTGCTCCGTTTTTCAGAAATTTGTTTCTTCGAAAAAATCGAAGCTCACTTACGTTTCGCTGAATGTCTTGAAAAATGCGCCACTGACAAAAATGAAGAACTCTGATTTGCGCGAAAATCGTTCTGCCAAGTTCGTAATGATTTTATTTATTTTTTAACTTGGCAAAACATATATTTCGGCTTGCTTCCAAAAATTGAAGACACGATCGTATCGAAAGATCTTATGGAGGGGAGAAATGAAGGGACATCTAGATTTTTCACTTGAATGTTAATTTTTTTAATGTCAACATTTCAATGTTCAATACAAAGATACTCTATTCAATGCTCCAAATGTTCTTATTGAGTTGAAAATGTATTCACCAATTCAAATTCAAGCAGCAATAAATTTTTTTTTCAAGAAATTCTGAAGAATATTCCTCCCATAAAACACAATTTAAGCATTATATAATGAAAGCCTATGCAAAAACAAGACTTGACTTAGGGACAATTGAACTTAGGGATGCTCTTGATGAACCAATTATATCTGCATCTTGGGTCTCACTGTATATCAGTGTTCCCAAACATTTTTGGGACCATGGGTTGGCAAATTTCCATAAACTTTTTTGCAGACCTGCAAATTCCAAAACATTTTCCAAGGATGAGCAAAGTTTCCAAAAGTTTTGCAGAGTCAAAAAAGGTTTGCTTCCAAGACTTTATGGCAGGTATCTTGAAGGTTTCTGCTTTTTTCAAAAATTAAATTGAGAACCAATGAAGCAGGTACTGTATAGTGGAATGTCTTAAAAAAATAGGAGGTTGCAATTGAAGGAAGGTTTCTCAGAATGAAAAATTTGAAAAGTATTCCATCAGGCAAAAATTTGTCTGAAGTGATACTAGGAGAAAAGCCAACATATTTTTTCATTAGATATATTCAACTGCCATTGTCTTGCCCAAATCTTAAATACAGATGTACTGTAACGTCCTCGAATGGCGCTTTTTAAAAATGCAACCTGCTATAGAAAATTTTCTGCTGACAAGCAAAAAAACTTCTGCAGACAAGTGCCGGTCCGTGGACCATGGGTTAGGGAACAGCGGAACCTGACGTATATTTATCCTGAAATCCTGTTTCAAGAAGCTGGCAGGACCGCGGGCAGGCAATGAAAATTCCCAATAGCTTCAAAGTCCATGTTCCAGAACTTCAAATTGAATGAATTGAACGCATAAGACATATTAGAAGGTCGAAAAAACCCTCATCTCCATCAATGAATTCAGCAAAACATTTCTTTCATGTCAATCATGCTGAAGAAAGAAAGTACTGCATAAGTCAACCAGGCTTGATTTAAAGCAGTGGTGCCCAACCCAGAAGTGGCCAAGGACCACATTGAAATAGAAAAGCATTATGCGGGCCACTATGGAAAAAAGGCACAATAAATGCTGTACAATACATTGTGTAATTCATAAATTCACTTGATGATAGGAAAATATACATAATAGTTTCAACCATGCCAGGAATTTACACAATGTATTGTAAAGCATTTATTGTGCCTTTTTTCTATTGTGTCCCACATAATGCTTTTCTATTTCAATGTGGTCCTTAACCACTTCTGAGTTGGGCACCACTGAACTATACTATACTCATATACTGTACCTACGAATCTTTGTTGAAGACTGCCTGAATTAGATGAACTTCAAGAGCACAGAATTGATTCAATCGGATGACGTCGAAGCATCTACGTATAAGAAATGCACCCCTTCGCACGCAGAGATTAATAAATCAGTCCAGTTCTTCGCAGCATCTATGCAAAGGATCTTTCGGGTGTTCTTTCAGGAACATGTAGAAGCTTTGACATTTGAATATTTTTTACATCAATTGCTCCGTTTTTCAGAAATTTGTTTCTTCGAAAAAATCGAAGCTCACACACGTTTCGCTGAATATCCTGAAAAATGCGCCAATGACAAAAATGAAGAACTCTGATTTACGCGAAAATCGTTCTGCCAAGTTCGTAATGATTTTATTTATTTTTTAACTTGGCAAAACATATATTTCGGCTTGCTTCCAAAAATTGAAGACACGATCGTATCGAAAGATCTTATGGAGGGGAGAAAAGGAAACTAAAGCAAACGTAATGTGATCAATGTTTCATGTATTCCAGAAACTTTCCCACAACTTTCGTATTGTTCGATTGTTCTACTTCTTCGGGAACCATTCACTATTCCAACCACATATTGCCTTTTTTCTTGTCGATGATGGAACCTGGTGAAATAAACATTGCAGCATCACTTCGTCGAGACGAGAAAACTTCTTGCTTCGGGCATCCGTGCGAAACTTTCCCAGAATGGAGGTAATTACTGGACCGAATTGATTTTCGTTGGTACCGTCAGGGTAGCTGCAAAAGTTTGTGATATTATTGACTAATTAAGCATCTAGACTTTAGAAGTTTAGATGAACAAAGCAACGTTTCAAGCGGTCGTGGGAATAATCGAGGCATTGACGCGAAGAAAGAACTTGATGAAAAAAAAAACTTCATGCAGGATGGAACAGTTTTTGCATCTGGAATATTTCGGAGGTTCGTGGCTAATCTCAGAAATGCGAAAGTTGCCTCCGTTCTTGGTCAATCATCCCTGTTGAGCGGATTCAGCAAGATGACTTGCAAAGGAGATGAGGAAACCCTGCTAAGTCCGAGCGAGGGTTTCGCCATTTTCCTTGCTGGCTCCATTTCCGTGGGTAATTTTTAGTTACTGTCAAATGACGCCTGTCGGTGCTCAGTATACACTAGAATCTCTGACTCAGAAATGAATAAAACTTTTAGATTCAATGAATTCAGGGCCCAGTGAAGAATTCAAAAAAAAAATCCTGCCACATTTCTTGAAGAGCTGCCTCAATGGCATCGCATATGATGGGACATATCACTGAAAATTGATTCAATGGTGCGCAAATTTACTGTTGTCTTATAGTATGTTCAAGCACATGGCAAAAATTCAAAATTTGAAAAACGATTTCATTTCAAAATACTTATATCTATAATTTCTGAACTTATTGGCATATCTTTTCGTTTCTTTTATTTTTAAAATCAATTTATTCAGTAGACAACCAAAAAAACAAGCTGTTCCATGGATGATGAGAATAACAACAAAAGAAGTTCCCTGAAGTTTTTAAAGATACTGTACATTAAACCCTGCACAACAGACTTCTTTCATTGAACAGGCTAGTCTATCATGTGAAAAGTCGGCAAAACGTAGTAAATTATTAAAAATTAAAATCTTTACTCTTTACCGTCAATTTTTAAACAACAGAAGTGCATTAGGTGGATTTTTCCATTAGGCATGATGAAAAACTGCTTTCAGAATGATCTGTTTGGCAAAAATCTCTCAGGTGGGAGGTCTGTTAGGTGGGTGTAGGCTGTCTTACTCTTCTTTTCTGCATATACAAACAAACAAACAGAAAACTTTATTTGCCGCTTTTCAGTGTTCACAAGGTACAACCAAAACTCCTGCATCCAAACCCCCTCCTCAACCAACCCAACTCCCCCAAAATACATTCAATCACTTCAAAGCATGAAACAAAGCATAAACCAATGACAAAAATAAAAGAGAACAAACTCTACAAAATAAAAACTGGACATCCTACATGTATGTTGCATACACCCACCCATCCTCAATATTGAAGACAAAGCAGCAGTAAAAGTTTATTTAAAGCACAAGGTCTTCAGCCTGTTTCTGTATGAGTTTTAGTTCAATGAACATTTCTGCATATAAATAACATGATTGAGACCTCTGACAGGATTGAATTCACATGTTTGTCTGAACTGGCAAAAATCAAGAACTAACAGAAAAAAATGAAACACATTTTGTATAAGATCGAAAAAGGCTTTGTTCAAGGGATGACACACAAAAACCAACAAAAAGTTGGGCAATGATGCAAAATGCAAATAACCAATAACCGTCTGGGGTTCAACCTGAATCCATCGAGGAAATAAAATTCTTAAAATTTTCACTGTATCAGTTCCTAAAAAAATGTCATATACTGTATAAGAAATGGTCTTCCGGATTGATATCACATCTTTCAAATTTCCAAAAGACGCTCACATGACACTTGTTGCGAACAATAGGCTCTCATATTTTTGTGATTTTGAAAAATGAGCAGTTTGCTTATACGCTTTTCATACATCCTCTAAAACAGCCATAACGCAATCCTCAAAACTTTTTAGAGTTTTGAGAGCAGAATAAATATATTCTGAAAATGTATTCTGAATAGCTGAGTATACCTTTAGATTGTACCTTCACCAAAATGATAATCAGAAGGAAATACTTTGGCTCACTCAATTCCGGAAGAAATAGCCATTATAAATGTTG